AAAAGGAAACCAAAGAGGCAGGAGAGGAGAACTAAATATACCGTGAGGGTGGAGAAAACGTGTTGCAGGTGTGTTCGCCTAACTTTGGTGTTCAACATTTTTTTCTTTTTTCTGCGTATTTTTTTAATTCCGCAAAGGGAAAGCTGAACCAAAAGGCGATGAAAGAGAAGCCCAGATCTCGTGAAGATTAGGAATTTTTGACCCACTCTTTGGAGCTAAGGTAATGTTTAGGAGGACATTGATAATGCGGTCCCTGTCATGGTCAGTGGGGTGTTACGCCTGGCTAAGGCTGTGGACGGTTTTTTGGGGCAGGCAGGAGGGATGGCTGGGTACGGAGGCTCTGTGGTTTTCCCTCAGGCCAAGGAACTCTCCTGCCCAGTCAGCAGGCGTGACCAGTTGGGATCCTTTGACTTCAGATCCAAGTTTTTCTGGTTTTCACCCTATTTCCTTGTGAAACTCAGGTGATGGTGCTGATAACAGGCCTGGCCTGTAAGCCAAGGACTAGATAACACAATCTTGTGTCCTGTGCTCAGCCTGCTGCAATCAGTGCGTGGCACTGAAGTGCCAGCTGGCTGCATTTCTGCAGAGCTCAAGGGCCCCATTACAAACAAGTCAAAAAGTTGATGAGCGAAGATCTAAATGACTTTCTCCCCTCACAAAAGTTAGCTGGTAATAAATGGGTGTGCAATAGTACTTACTGCAAGGGTAATGCATTTTATTCTCTGGAGTTCATTCCTGCAGAGATTTGCTTGCAAAACCGGTGTATTAGTAAACAGCATTTACCAGCATTTACCATGTTCTGAGTTCCTAATTCACCTTCTTCACTTTCTTGGGAAGTGGACTGATTTCATTTATGTATGCATTTTAAGGGGCAGGAGAATACACCTGGAATCATTATGCATATTGAATCACCGTTTGGATATTGAAAGCTAGAAATGTTATTCTGTGTGGAAGATAACCCTACCTGGCACACAATTAGTGATTGTCCTGTATAACAATAATTACCTCTTTCAGTTCTATTCCTGGAAAATATGCTGTGGTCAACAGTAATGAGAAAGTTTACTGTAAAAGCCAGATTTTTATTTTTTTTTTGGCTTAAAGAGCACAAATGAGACAGAAAATTTTGCTATCATTTCCAAGTGATTTGTCTTAAATTCAAAATTTCTTCTTAAGATATTCTCAGTGAACCAATTACTCAAATTATAAATTAACACCATCGACGTAATTAGAAATGTATTTATTTTAAAATTCAAATTTACTTTTATGTTTACCTAATTCCCTACAATGTTGATCTACAACATGATGCACTGGTTTCTAATCAGGTGAAATTATGGTTACACAGAAAAGAGCTCGGACATACATGGGGTTTTAGTTGTCTCTTCATTTAACTTGCATTATCTGGGGATATTTCAGGCTTCTATTCCATATATGTATTTCTAGTCACTTGTGGAATTTATTAATATTCTATTAACTAAAGAATTATAAAACAGGAAACAGAATAATATATACATACATAAAAATTAGCTTCAAATAAAAATTGAAAAGACCACCATTAAACATAATTTAAAGAATCACAAGAGCCTAGTGGTACTAGGTAAAACTTGATGAAGTTTGTTGGCTGTGTCTTCTCATACCACTTACAAACTACTATTGATCTAATCTAGAGGAGAAAAACAATAATGTAAAAGAATGATGTGTTTAAGATTTGTTACCAACCTGACCCTTAAAAATGAGTGTTCCCTGACCATAACTATCATCAGCTGTCTGCTCAAGTCTCATGCTGGTTATAATGACTGTTTTCATAGTCCTTCTAACACACCATTTTTTGTAGAGACATTTAGTGGATGGCCATTTTCTTCTTGTGTCAACAGAATCATAGCAACATAGAATCATAGAACAGTTTTGGTTGGAAGAGACCTTCAGGATCATTGAGTCCAACCTTTGTCCTTGTCCTGTCAACACCACCAAACCATGTCCTTCAGGGTAACATTTACCCTTCTCTTAAACACCTCCAGGGATGGTGACCCAACAAACTCCCGGGGCAGCCTGTTCCAATGGCTGACAACCCTCTCAGTAAAGAAATTCCTCCTAATATCTAACGTGAACCTTCCCTGGCTCAAATTAAGGTAATTTCCCCTCATCCTATCACTCTCCACTAGGGAGAACAGAGCAACCCTCACCTCACTACAACCTTCTTTCTCCTCTTCTCCAGGCTAAACGGCCCCAGATCCCTCAACCTTTCCTCAAAGGACATATGTTCCAAACCCTTTACCCTTTACCAGCTTGGCAGCTGCCTCTGTACCCTCTCCAGCACCTCAATGTCCCTCTTGTAGTGAGGGGCCCAAAACTGGACACAGCACTCGAGGTGAGACCTCACCAAAGCTGAGTACAGGGGCATGATCACCTCCCTGCTCCTGGTGACAGCACCATTCCTGATCCAGGCCAGGATGCCATTGGCCTTCTTGTCCCCCTGGGCACACTGCTGGTTCCTGTTCAGCCACTGTCCATCAACACCCCCAGGACCCTCTCTGCCTGGCAGCTCTCCAGCCACTCCTCCCCAAGCCTGTAGCACTGCTGGGGGTTGTTGTGGCCCAAGGGCAGGACCCGGCATTTGACCTTACTGAATTTCATGGAACTGGCCTTGGCCCAGTGATCCAGCCTGTCCAGATCCCTCTGCAGAGCCTCCCTACCCTCAAGCAGGTCGATACTTCCACCAAGCTTGGTGTTGTCTGCAAACTTACTAAGGGTGCACTCTGTCCCTTTGTCCAAATCATTGATGAAAATGTTAAACAGGACTGAGCCCAGTACTGAGCCCTGGGGGACACCACTCTTGACTGGCCACGAACTGGATTTAACTCCATTGACCATAACTCTCTGGACTCGGCCATCCAACCAGTTTTTCACCCAGCAAAGTGTGCAAAGTGTATGCCAATCCAAGCCAAGAGCAATCAATTTCTCTAGGAGAATGCTGTGGGCAACAGCATTAGTGTCTCCAACGTCACTCAGACTGGGAACGTCTATGCTGATTTTTACGCAGGACTAAGTGTGGAGATAGAATCAGATTATTAATTTAAAATATGAGGTGAGTATGTTAATTTTATGTGGGTAAAACTAAGTTAATCTCAATCCTGATAAATTGTAATGCATCCCTAAGTAAAATATGAAAAGCAAGAACCTTGTCTGCAGAGAATAAAGAATATATGAGACAAAATACATTACTAGAGCAGGTCCAGAATTTTGAGCTTCAAAATACCAGCAAATTACATTTTTTCAACTAAAAATATTTCACTTTTTTGATATATTTTAACTGGTAAGAGCCAGAATTCCTTCATATAAGGTTAAGATTTCAAATTTTCAGATCAGAGGAATTCTTTCTTGTGTTTGGTCAGAGGAGGCTATAGTAATACAGAAAACCTGCTACGTTACTAGAATCAGTCTCCAGCTTTCTATAGTAACAGTATCATAAAATTTATTCAAATGGAGTTAATGAAATGAAGTGAAATAAAATAAAATAAAATAAAATAATTAGTTTCTGTATAATTATACATAGGGTCTCCTCAAATGCCAAGCATGCAGTGACTGCTATTGGCATCAGTCAGTTTTGGATTGACCACTGTCTTTATCTGAGCAAAATAGAACCAACTCTCTTCAGTGATTTTTATTTCTCAACTCAGTCTCTTCTTAGAGGCTGCACTTTCTGAAGTCAGCAGCATATTTGTGCAGACAGTGTGTGCTGCTGGCAGTGGTAACACCTGGTGTTTACAGTTACTGCCTGGGACTGGGATGCAGAAAGGCTCTTGCTGATACTTGTTCCTACAGTGACCAAGGCCACTGCTGGCTCTTGTGTGCCACGCTGGGGGTGCCGGGTAGTAAGAGGGGTCACAAGGAAGTAAAAGGTTGCACCTCTGGGGGGTGACAGAAAGGATGGGTGACCGACAAGAGTATTCTATTCCCTAC